CCCACCCCACCGTCCCTTCAAGCGTGAAAAGAAGAGTACCGATGTAACAAAACTTGATACAGACAGAGTTAAAGCCCGCTACTTTACTTACGTGGATGCATGTTGAACAGCTGTGAGAATACCTAATTATTCCGTTTTGTTTATGTACTGCACACTTACAGTGTTGGAGAAAAAGAAATAATCCAGACACGTTATGGAGGTAAATGGTCGGGGGGTGTCACTGTACTGTTACGTCATACTTATCTTGTCTGTCTGTCTGTCTGTCTGTCTGTCTGTCTGTCTGTCTGTCTTTCACTGGTAGGTCGTACTTTTCTGTTTTCCTCCTGTATGCCGTAGGCCCTATCTTTTCTGTCTTTCACAATCAGGTCCTACTTTTGTGTCTTTCTGTCTTTGTTTCTCCCTTCACCGTTTATGGTATCGATATAACAGGCATCTCTTTCCGAAACGTGATGAAATATAACATACCAACACTTCTTGAGTGTCTGGTCGTTGAAAATGTGATATAGTGCACTTACTGAAATAATGCACTGAGTGACATGGTGCACGCAGTTGTGAAGTGGGAAGCATGCTAGAGCACCTTATGATAGTGTAGGCCTACACAGTTGTGAGGTATGTACTGATAGTGGACTCAGTGATAGTGCACATATACGCTACGTAGTCATAGTACACCTACTAGCGCGTATATACGCTACGTAGTCGTAGTACACCTACTAGTGCATACAGTAACTTGTGAGGCATGTACTGAGATAGTGCGCTCAGTGAAAGTGTGCGCTACGCAGTAATATATCATTATAGTGTACACCTAATTGCAGTGTATAGCTGTGAGGCACCCAGTGACAGCAAAGATACTACACCGTAGGCTGTACTACCTTTGGTGACAGTGCCGACGGCGATAGTGCATCCACTTAGAAACTAGAGAGCGAGCTATGAGTCTCGCATCACCTTGAATTTTAGGTGAAGGTCGGAGAAAGAAAAGGAATTGGTGCTGGGGAAGGGAAGATGCGGGAAGGAGGCTATTGTTTCACAAAAAGTTTAAACTGGGTGTATCCGACTCCATAATGAATATTTGTGTGTGAAAATGGCATAAAAAATTAGGTGTCTTTAGACATATTTTAAGCTGGTTTTCTTCTTTTTTTTTTGAATAGGAGAAAATGTGCACTGGAAAATTCAGTAGCATCATTTAAAAAATATTTTTGGATGCTTGAT